ATAAGCTGTGTGCAAATAATAATCCATATGCGGCTAGCGCGTACCGGCCGATGCTGTAGTGTTTCAGTGCCCAGCCGGAACTGACGACCAGCACAAAGTTGAGCAGGCCCAGAGATAACTTGGAAGACAGGGAGCCGATGGCACTGACAGCCATTGCGACAGGTGCTCAAAACAAACAAACAAACGAAACAAAAACTGATTCTGTTATTGTCTTTGACCAAGGTGCCGCCGTAACTTATCGATGTTTCTAAGATGTGCCCGATAGTAATAAACGATATTTAGTGCTGGGTAATTGTATGCAGCCGTTGCCAATTTAAATGAGTTATTCTAGACTCACAAATAATGCATATCTATTTATTTGTATAAAGCTATACATACTTTAAGTGTAACATATTTTAAAATGAATTAATTACTTATATAGTCTTTCGTCTTAGGCAAAGTGTAAGAACTTGAAATAATTGCAATAAGAAATTCAAACAGTTCACTGGTTCACGAACTACTTATCCAACACTGGATCAAGCGGATGCAGTTTGTTTGGACGCCCGCGATAGATTTGTATTTTTATTTGTGATACGTTTTGCATTGCCATTCTTCTGCTGCATTTTTACAGTTATTTAGTTTAAAGAACGTCAACAAAATGGCGGATCCGAATGGATTTAAGCTTTTCAGATCAGTTGATCCGACGACCGTCAACGTGCCGATCAAGGAGAAATTCGCCAAACTGACGCTCTCTTCGAACAAGAAACAACAGTTAGCACGAAAAACTACGCCACAACCGAAACCCCAGCCAGAGCAGCAATCAATTAAAAGCAGTAACGTGAGTCGCCAACTGTTGGGCGAACTAAATGATCTGGCGGCTGCCAAATCCTACGAGCATCCACTGCTGCGCAGCGATTCCTCATCGTCCCACGCAATGGGCCAGGAGCACACGCCAAAGGCAGACGACGCCAGGTCACAGCTTGATGTCTCCGACTATATGGAAACGCTCCATATGAGCTGCACACAGCAGACAATCGACGTGGATGTGGAAGCCCTATCCACGCAGGTGACCAATCTGACAATGCAGCCCGAGAAGGGGCTGCCGCCGGAGCAATCCATTTGCATCTCATCGACCACTGCAGAGAGTGACGACGATAGTGCTTCGTGCATTACCATATCAGATAGCAGTGTAAGTGAGCATGGCGAGCAGCAAACTGTTGACAGGGAGCCGGAGCAGACGAGCATGGCGGTCAGCGAGCAACTGCCTCCAACAGCACCTAACCTATCCAATGTCAAGGTGCAGCGCATTGAAGCGTTTCTGCGTGACGTCTCTTTTGAGCGCCGTGAGATCCAACGCCGTGGCTGTGCGGACATGTCAGGCGACATCACACGGCTGGCCAGTGCTGACACGGAATCCATGAGCATAGGCGACGTGGACTGCACGGAACTGTTGTCCGTGTCTCAGTGGCAGGCGGATAGCAGTAAACGTCTGGCGGACAACGATACGGAGATCGGTCCAATGTGTTCCGAAGAGCAAGTGGATAGCAGTAAACGCCTCGCGCACAATGATACGGAGGTCAACACCGTGTGCTCCGAGGAACAAGTAGATGGCAGTAAACGCCTGGCGGACAACGATACGGAGGTCAATACAGAGCTGAACACCGTGTGCTCCGCGGAGGAAGTGAATAGCAGCAAACGCCTGGCGGACAACGATACGGAGGTCAACACAGTGTGCTCCGAGGATAGCAGCAAGCGGCTGGCAAACGATGACACAGAGGTAAACACACCCGACTTGGAGGTGCCGCTATCCGATGTATCCGGCCAACAGACAACCCTGGATGAAACTATTCCAGAGACCAGCAGCGAGCTGGAGCACTCGCCGCCTAGACCCGTCTCTGCCTCATCGGCGGAGCCAGAGGAATCAGTGCATTCGGCCGCCATACAAGTGAGCAGCATTAATATATCTGCAAAGATCAACATTAAGATACACATACCCACGCTGGACTCGAGCTCGGAAGTGGAACAGAGCATTGTAGAAACGACGCCGACATCAAAGGAGCGCGCTGACTCATGCAAGCAGCAAGAGCAGAAGGAGCAGGAGCGGGAAAAGGAGAAGGAGAAGGAGCGGGAGCAGGACAAGGAGCAAGAGCGGGAGCAGGAGTGTGAGAAGGAGCAGGAGCAGCAGCAAGAGCGAGAGTGCTCTGTGCTAGGCAGCGATGCTTCGGAGGATGAGCAATTTCTGACGCAAGCTGAAAAGCTGTTGAATCAACTGTATGGCAAATCCTGGCAAACTCCGGATGTCATACGCACACTGAAACGCTCCAGCGGCAGCGGCGGCAAAACTGCGTCCGTTGGAGCGGTAAGGCGCGCGCCGCTCACCGAGATCAAGCGTCAGCCTAGGCARCCCAAGGCAGCGACAGCTAAAAAGGCGGCCCCGGCGGCCCAGCCCAACGATAGCGCCGTGGGCGACTTTAGCATATGTAAATATATAATAATATATAGATAAAGCATATATGTCTATTCTAAAAATATTTTCCCGATTCCTCAGTTAGGCGGGCTCTAAACTCCAATAAGTTCAACTCCACGCAACTGCCCAGGGCCATCTGCAGCGAGAGGCGTCCCGGCAGGCCACAGGTGCGCACCAAACACATTGACGAGGAACGCTGGCGGGCCCTGATCGATACGGACAGTGGCACGGATGCCTCGGATGACGACGATGCCAATGCCACGGAGAGCAGTGAGACTAGTGATGGCGAGGAGCAGGAGAACGGTCACGTAACCTACTTGGATCTGACCAAGAAAGAGGTCGAGGTGGTCAGCGATCCGGATGAGCAGGATACTGGATGTGAGTATACTGGAATTGGGCAGATCTAGTGAGCCATGACTTTTAGTTTAGAACTGACTCGATGTAGGCTTTCCATTGCTTTATTCAGCATAGAGCAGTCAGTGACTTTTGTTAGGCTGTGCAGGCTAGTCAGAAATTGCTGAAAAAAAAATTAAAATTAAAATTAAAACGGAAAATCGGAATTTTGAGAATTTGAGAAAGCGAAAGATATCCAATAAAACTAACTCGCGCGGACCATAGATTTATAGCTTATTAAATATAGCAAAGCTCTTTACGTGGATTTGGTAGTTTCTGTAAGAGAACGACATTCACATACTTTGTCCCACGCCACGCAGCATCCAAGCCACACAAACGACTGGATGATATTTTGCGGAAGTATCGGGCCACAGATAAACCGAAGCTACCAGCGACGCCAGTGACGCCAGTCACAACACCAGCCTCATCGAATCCCACACGCCGGCAGCTTTTTACGCCCAACACAGGCTACGAGGACAGCAGTGAAGCTATCAAAATAGTTGATCAGGCGCTCGATCTGAATAGTTTGGAGCAATTGGAGCTTATTTATTTACCGGGCACTAACGTGCATAAGCGCATCCAGGAAGTGAAGAAACAGCTCGGAATGGGAGTGGCAACGCCTAAAGCTAAGCCCGTATTTAAGAAGCGGACACCAAGACCCATTCCAGCTCCAACCAGAGCTGAGCCAGTCATGAATGAGATCGTAATGTCTGAGCCATGTGGCTTCCTGAAGTCCCTGGAGCCACAGATCAGCCGTGAGTTCTGTGACCGTGAAGCATTCTACTATCGTGAAAACTACGCCCGAGTCAAGGATCGTCTGACCACTGTGTTATACAATTTGTATAATACTCACGTATTCAATGAATCACTAGATGTGCAAGTCGCCTGGTCGCCCAGGCTGCGTAACACGGCCGGCACTTGCCGCAACAAGACCATGTGAGTAATGAGTAGATCATTGTGGAGCGGCAGCCTCGAATCTGTTTTTTTTTTTTTTTTTGCTTTGCAGCTCGGGTGGGGTGCGCACCAGCAGGATCGAGCTGAGCACCAAGGTGCTCACCAGTGCCGATCGTCTTCGCTCAACTCTAATCCATGAGCTATGCCATGCCGCTGCATGGGTGTTCAACGGGGCCACCGGACATGGCGTCGTCTGGAAGAACTGGGCAAAGCGTGCCATGAACAGGTTTCCAGATTTGCCGCCGATTACTGTTTGCCACAACTATGAAATTGAATTTAAATACACTTATAAATGCAGGTACTGCGGAGCCGCGTAAGTAGCCTACGATTTGATAGATAATAAGAACTCATTTCGGAGTTTATCTCTCTTTTCTATTGCAGATCACACGCTCACTCCAAGTCGCGCAAGTGTAGCGATCTACGCTGTCGCTTCTGTCTTACTCCAATTGATCTATATATAAACAAGAAAAACAAGATGGGCGTCATTGAACAGACTCCGGTGCGCCCACCAATGGGATTTGCCAAATTCGTTAAGGATAACTTTCAGAAGTACAATCGTGACAATCTTGGGGCTGCAAATGTGATGCGCATCCTGGGTGCCGAGTATGCCAAGAAGAAGGCCGCCCTTGCTAATCAGTTAGACGTCACCGAACAATTGGCAAATTTGTCTTTGAATAATGATTAGAAATCAAATCGAAGAAAGCCATTTATGTTATTGATTAGAAATTATGAACATTCGAAAAAACCATTAAAAAAAAAACTTTAGGATTCATTTAAAGATATGTATATGCAGTTAACAGCTGTTTGTATTGATGTACAAACGTGTGTATTTTTAGTTGACGTCAGTATGTAAAGTACTTTAAGCATTCGTTTATAACTAAAATAAACCGAACTCGAATAAGCAACTGCAACCTGATTTGTGTTATCATTTTAAGTGTTGTGCAAGTAATCGGCTTGTGTCAGCAGTGGCGATAGACACTCGATACTATCGATAGCACACACTACCGGCAGCAAAATAGAGATTCGACTTAAGTGCTCTATAGTTTGATGAATTAAATATTACAAAATTAAATGCACATGCCGGAGTGAGCATGTTTTCAATTTGCTAGTGATAAGTAAACACGTTACTATAGCACCTTCTCGATTTTGCCGCATATTCAATCGAATCAATTGTGATAGCAAGAACTGAATGCCTGTGCTATTAGCGCTGCCATCACTAGCACACATACGCACGCAATCGTAAACATTTAGTTGCAGAACCGAACACGTCAGCTACGCGGATGCGGATTGATTAACAGCGATTTGTTTTGATCATTCCAAATCAGTAAATCTACCGTTCGAACTACATACATTACAGCTAGGTATTTTCAGGTATTCGTTAGCTGACTTAATTACCGCTGCATCAAAATGGTAAGCCCGCACAGACACGCACACACATACACACAAACGTACATACGTCTACGTCGGCTGTTTTGCTTATCTCATTTGTGTTTGATTAATCCCAGGTACTCATTGCTGCAGCAGTCTGCACAAAGAATGGCAAAGGTAAGTTATATTGTTTACTTAAACTGTTTAAATGTCTAACCTCACACTTTCACATTCCAACATCACGCATACGCACACGCACATACACACACAGTCATATTGTCACGTCAGTTCGTGGAGATGACGAAGGCGCGCATCGAGGGTCTGCTGGCAGCATTCCCCAAGCTGATGACCGCCGGCAAGCAGCACACGTACGTGGAGACAGACTCGGTGCGCTACGTCTATCAGCCGATGGAGAAACTCTATATGCTGCTCATAACCACAAAGGCCAGCAATATACTGGAGGACTTGGAAACGCTGCGTCTATTCTCCAAAGTGGTGCGTACATATTAATATGCAATAGCTGTTTCAAATTTCCATTTATATATGCTTTCCACACAGATCCCAGAGTACAGTCACTCGCTGGACGAGAAGGAGATTGTGGAGAATGCATTCAATTTGATATTTGCCTTTGACGAGATTGTCGCCCTTGGGTATAGGGAGAGCGTGAATCTGGCGCAAATCAAGACATTCGTTGAGATGGATTCGCATGAGGAGAAGGTCTACCAGGCCGTGCGTCAGACACAGGAGCGCGAGGCACGCCAGAAGATGCGTGAGAAGGCCAAGGAGCTGCAGCGTCAACGCATGGAGGCCACCAAGCGCGGTGGCCCCTCCATGGGCGGCATGGGCGGACGCAGCGGTGGCTTCAGCTCCGACAGCTTTGGCAGCAGTGGCATCAGCACTGGCATGGGCAGCGGAAGTGGTGCACCATCCATTGAGATGGAGACCAAGCATATGTCCTCCTCTAGCAAGCCGGCAATGTAAGCTAATATTGATAGCAACTCTTGATATGGGATATAGTCTACATTAATATTTTCTCTATCTCTCTCTCTTCCTCTCTCTCCATTGTTATCTCACTTGCAGAAAGCCTGTTTCGCGCAATGCGCTCAAATTAGGCGGCAAGTCCAAGGACGTGGACAGCTTTGTTGATCAGCTGAAGAGCGAGGGCGAGAAGATTGCCAACCTGGCACCAGCTGTGCCAGCGGGCAGTGCCGGTGCAGCGGCCAGCGCCAGTGCCGCGGCAAAGGCTAAAATCTCCGCGGACATTCATACAGAAAGGTAATGGAATGAGCTGCGTTGTCCCTTTGACCACTTCAATATAAACTACATTTATTTTCCAGTGTCCATCTGAAAATGGAGGACAAGTTGGTGGTGCGTCTGGGCCGGGATGGCGGCGTACAACAGTTCGAGCTTAGTGGCTTGCTAACGCTGCGCATTACCGACGAGAATCTGGGACGGATCAAGGTGAAGCTGGCCAACAATGATACACAGGGCATACAGCTGCAGACACATCCGAATGTTGACAAGGAACTATTCAAGACGCGCGCCATGATCGGACTAAAGAATCCAGCCAAGCCGTTCCCCCTCAACACCGATGTGGGCGTACTCAAGTGGCGCTTCATTACACAGGACGAATCGGCCATTCCTTTGACCAGTGAGCTCATCCGTTTTCGGCTTCTTTCTGTATTAGTAACTAACTATCTATCTGTCTCTCTCTAATCCATTCCGTGCAGTTAACTGTTGGCCATCGGACAACGGAGAAGGCGGCTGCGATGTGAACATTGAATATGAACTGGAGACACAGCATCTGGAGTTGCAGGATGTCGTCATCGTTATACCATTGCCGTAAGGAAATAATCATTAGCCATCCATCCATATGGTTATCTCAATGGTAATCCTTTCCTATTGCAGCTTGAACGTCCAGCCCTCTGTGGCCGAATACGATGGTACCTACAACTATGATGCACGCAAGCATGTGCTGCAGTGGCACATTCCCATCATCGATGCTGAGAATAAGTCGGGATCAATGGAATTCAGCTGCAGTGCCTCCATACCGAGCGACTTCTTCCCCTTGCAAGTGTCGTTTGTCTCAAAGACGCCGTATGCGGCAATTAGTGCGCTGGATGTCGTACAGGTTGACACTGATTCGTCTGTCAAGTATTCAAGTGAAACGATTCTATTCGTGGAGAAATACGAAATCGTTTAAACTATACACACAAACACACACACATACATATACACTGAAGAAAGAAACACACACACACACACACAAACGACATGAAAAAGAGAAAAATCGGCAGTAGTAGTATACCTAGTATCAATACATACCCTTATATTTTTGAGCGATTCATCGCATTATGTACGATTATAAATGTTAAAGCTATATTTCGACCTAAAAAACACGCATCCAGCCGCAAATGGCTAACAGTAATTCCAAATGGGCGTGCTCCACAACCATCATCATAGAGTATAATACATAAGGTAAAATACACACATATTTTATTAAATGCTCGGTATGCAGCTTATAATTTGATTTCAAACCATAAAAATTGTTAAATATATTTGGCATTGTAAACGAGAGTTTGATTTAATGCAGTCGTCTGCATACAAACGGCAATAAAATATATGTTAATAACAACTCGACTATCATTACTTTTTGTTTATTTTGTATTTGAATCTATTGTAACGCTTAAATTCAAATTGATTTTCAGTAAGAATACAAGTGCTGCATGTGGCGCTCTTGCTAGACGACGTATTTTGCAACACTGAAGTCAATCTGTGGTCACCCCCATTTATCGATAGCCAACGCTTTCGATAATCCAACTCGGAATTAGCATTGTTTTGGTTTATTCTTTGTTTTCGTTTTTACAATTGTTGGTAAATTGAAGTTAAACAAATGGAGCAGCAACTGGAAAAAGTGTTGAGCGAAATGTACGTATTGCATAATAATAAACCATCCAAACTATTAATCACTTGATCCTTGCAGCTTAACACAACAAGACACCGTGGGTGCCTTAGTGGCGAATCGGCAAGGCCTCTGCTTGGGCGGTGAGTGAAGTAAAAAAAGCAGTATCATTACATGCATGCAAGAGTGTGCATGTGTGTGTCCATGTACATATATGTATGCTTCATTCTGTCGTAAACAAGCCTGTCTAATTTTATATGTTGTTGATTGTTTTTGTCTTATCCTTCCACTTTTGCACAGCCAAGGGCAACATTAATCCCAACGTCTCTGGCATTGGAATGGCCATATCCGAGCAGGTGGCCAAGCTGGAGCCCAACAGCACTCTTCCGGCCACTGTTTGTCTGTACAGTGGCAATAAGTAAGTAGACATCCGTTAGCCCACTCGCAGGCACCCATTTAATTATTGTTTCTATCCATTTGCAGGCGCTGTGTCATACAAAAGGATGGCGATATAACTGGCATAATTTATAAACAAACAACACCAACAACAGCAGCGACAGCAACAGCATCGACATCGGCCAGCAATTAGCAATGCGATGCGAGTACATACATACATAGCTCGTACCTTAGGCCAACGTGAGACAAATTTCTTCCAAATGCGCTCGAGTATTGTTTACAGCAATAGCCGGCGACATTCGTAGCCGTTTAGCCGTTAAGAGCTGGCAGCGTTTGTACACTTTTTGTTGATTTGTTTTAAATGGCGTTTATTATTTGTATGTTTCCATCTCTTACTATTTTCTTTTATCTTTTTTTTTTTTATATACATATATATGTAAATGTAACGAATATAATTATGTTGTACTGCATCGTAGCGAGTTAAGCAACAAGCGATTATGTGCTCGAAAAACTGAAAAGCTTAATTCGAAACACTTTAGGTAGCATTTGTGTATATATACATTTTGTACGATTAAGCCTGAACAGTGATCAAAGCAAAATTACAAATATGGAGTATGGAAAATCCTGTTTTCTAAGTTGCTCAATTCTGTTATGTTTGCCTCCTGCTGTCACAGTATTAGTAGTATTAGTGTATGACTGAGAGCTTCCATTGAGTTAAGCTCCTGTAAAAGCTTTCAACCGAGTGAGCTTGCATCTTGGCTGCTCACCTCTCAGTTTTGATTTGCATCCTTTAATTCGCACTTCGTTAAGGAGGGAGAGTGAGACAGCAATAGCTGTTGCTGCGTGTAGCCACGACTGAAAGCTTTCATCCGACTGAGTTTGCGTATTGGTTGCTCGCCTCTCAGTTTTGATTTGTATCCTTCAATTCGCGCTTTGTTAAGGAGGGAGAGTGAGATAGCGAGAGCTGTTGCTGCGTGTAGCCACGAATATTGCTGGCTAGCTCATTCGCACAGGGCTGCTATGATTTGCAGTAGAGAATGAAGAGAAGCGACTAGAAATTGCCATTCACATTGTGAAAGAATGAAAACTGAGATTTTGTTGTTGCGCGAAGTTCAAAAAGTATAAAATTATGAATCATGGTGACCAAATTCGACAAGCACATATACATATGTACATCAATTATTCAATATCTAAAATTTTAACAGACTTATGCTAATGGCAGCCATGGTCAAAATATGCATTAGTGAAAGTCATCAAACACTGATCAAAGGCCAACAACAAGCGCCAAAGAGTCTCGAGCTGCTTTTTCGTATTGGCCAAATCTCGCCACGCCACAAATACTTGCAAGTCTTCCAGCTAACTTACCTACCTGCCTTAGTATAATTATAATTAATACTCACCTATGTGCGCGCCTATCTGCTCGTAATTACTCAATCATAACGGCGCCTGTTCGTGCTGCCTGCGAGCGTCTAGTCTTTGAATTTTCCGGATTGGGCAACATCGAGGAAATGCAGCTACGCCTACATACATCATAAAAAGAGAGAAATAAAAAAAATGATATATTGTCGTCATGCAATATGCAACATGCAACACTCTCATAAGAGACTCCCAAACAAATTGCCGTTAATTTCAGCCCACAAGTTTTCAGCATTAAAAAAAAAAGAAAATAAAACAACTGATTTTTTTCGTATTAGTTTTTATCTCATTTTTTATATATATTTTGAAAGTGGTGTGACAGCCTGGCCAACCGCCCATCACACACATTAACCGTCGAGTTGATGCACACATTAAGTTTACAGGCAATTTTGGCAATATGTTTGAGTGTTTGGAGCTGAATTTGGAGTTTGTGTTGGAGTTGAGTGCGCCGTCGCATTAGCCGGCGCCCCCAAGGGTGTTTGCGTCGAAGCTAAACAAGTTTCTTTATTGCCAATTGCCACATAGTGCCGACAGCCGTTTAGCGACTACAGCCAAGATTGCCTATGTTAAACAGAGAAGAAGAAGAAGAGCTCAGTAAAATATCATGTGCCAATTCGATGGCATCGTAAGCTGTGCCAAATCGCGAAGGGCTTAAGAAATAATGTATACAACCTATATACTCTTCAAATCCATGAGCGAGTATTCAAATTACTCATGTTCAATGAATAGAAAGAAAGAGTGAAAAGGAAGAAGAGAGAGAGAGAGAGAGAGAGAGAGAGAGAGAGTGCTGTAAGAAGAAGGCCACAGATAGCAATAGGATAAAGGATAATGATTGGGAAATAAATTGAGATAGATAAATGCTGAGATAGGAAGGGTGGGGCATAGTAGATAGGTACTAGAGAGTGAGAATGTAAAGAAAGGTAAGAAAGAGAGCGAGAAAAGACTAAAAGCAGAGGTGAGACAGATAGAGTGACAGCAGAAGAAAGAAAGGAAAATGATGCGAAAATGAGAGTGAGGCAGAGTGTGAGTGCAAGAAAATACATATAAAGGAAGAAAGGGAGAGGAGAAAAAATGAGGAGAGTAGAGGAAAAATATTAAGGGCAATGCAGGAAGACAGAGAGAGAGAGAGACAGAGAGAGAGAGAGAGAGAGAAGGCGGGAAAAAGTAAAAAACAGACTGAAGTAGGCAGCGAATGAAAGAATGTGAGAGTAAAATGTAGAAAGAGAGAGGGAGAGAGAGAGTGGAAGAAAACATAGTCAAGCAGAGAAACAGAGAATAGACATGGAGGGAGGTGGAAAGAGAGAGAGAGAGAGACTGAGACTGAGACTGAGATAGAGACAGAGAGAGAGAGAGAGAGAGAGAGAGAGAGAGAGAGAGAGAGAGAGAAAGAAATGGAAATCAAAATAAAGTGCGGTATGAAAGCTAGATGGATTTTTTTCAATCTATTTTATTTTTTAGGAAGCACCAGAGCATTTTTTTCAGGTAGGTAGAAGATGAAAAGATGAATTGAGAGAAATGGAAATGCAAACGGAAGGAAACGGGAAATAAACTGTGCTTAGGGCTTAGACTAAAGATAGTACAAACGAGTGGAATAGCAGAAAAGTGAGAATGGAGTAGTGAGGGCCAGATGGACAGATGACAGCCAGAGCTGTCATAGAGTTGCCGTAAGTTTTGCTAAACATGTGTGTATTAAATGGAAATCAGTAGGACATTATCGAAACCTTTGATGGAAAATGACATCAAGGTGAGCTACAAAGGTTCAGTGATCGAATTTATACCCTCCATTCCGATAGTCAGCAGCAGCAGCAGCTCCGTCGACTACTGTGGGGACTACTGTGGATGCAGTTGGAGATCTGATCACCTGTGCGCCATGGACTGGAGGCCATTGTGCCTCAAAGTTCAATGGAAACAGATGTAAAGCATGAGCAAATAATCGCAAGTGAATGCAATTGTTGGGCAAAGGACAATGCCGGAGTTTGTGTGTTTGTCGAGCGCCAATAAAGTACATTGGCAAATACATATATGTTAATTCATTTGTATAAATATGTGAACTTGATGCGAATAACAGCAAGGAGAGAGGGGGTGAAAGGGAGACTGGCGAAAATGTTCTTTATCAAACAGCAAAGTTTAAACAAGCTTTGTGCGAATTTATTTGCCTGTCTATGTACATAATTATTGAGATATGCAGGTAAGCTATTGTTCATTGTGTGCGTGTGCATGTGTGCATGTGTGTGTGTGTGTGTGTGTGTGTGTGTGTGTGTGTGTGTGTGTGTGTGTGTGTTGCAGCCTTGAACTTTCACTAGCTACGGCGCCGCCAACAATCCAGGGGCAATGCAGCGTGGGGCGTTCCACTTGTCTGTGGCCCAGAAACTCTCTCTCTCTCTCTCTTACTCTGAGTGTGGGTGTGAAAGGTAAACACGCAGTGAACGCTCACGCATCTGCAAGTAAAACTCGTTGTTGTATTCGAAATTCGAATTGAAGCAACAAACGTCAGCTGATAAACCAAAATGAAATTGGCCGCCAAGGCGGGTTTATTTAGTCGGCCAAAGCCACCGAAAGCCTTCAACTTGACTAAGCGTTCAATCGAGTTCAGCGGGCGGCGGGCAGCGAGCGGCACAGCAGGTTGTCTCACTTTCGCTTTCAAGAAGTTGCGTGCGACAGCAGAGAGAAGCCATAGCAATCGATTGGATAAGTGTGGCGATTAAATAAGTTAGAATGCCGTCTCTAACTAATCTTACAGATTAGTTGAAAGCAAAGAGCAGCTTTTAAAGTGTATAGAGGGACCGGCGTGCCTGGTAGAAGCGAGAAGCGTAACCATTGGACTAGATAAGCTTGCAGCAGACAGCAAAACTATCCAGTAGTAAGCTACCGTTAAGACAGCAAATAGCTTAGCTGATTCAACAGAGAGAAGCTATCTACATTAACTAGATAAGCTTGTTTTATTGAAGCGAGACTAATTTAGATAAGTTTGTCTCGGACAGAAAGTCAAGCAGTCTACAGCAAACGGTCTTGAGCATGCCATTAGATAAGTTTTGTAGCTAGCAAATAAGGAAAATCATGGATGATGGACTTGCAAGAAGAGAAGAAGCGAAGAAGCGCAACTTTCAATTCAGCTAAAAGCGAGAAGCGTACATTTGAGACTAGATAAATTTCTCTGCAGCAGCTCTAGAGCAAATAGCTCAGCGACTTGGCAAGAGAGAAGTCGTTTCCCAATTAATTAGATAAGCTTGATACATTGGCGTGAGAAGCGTATTCACTCGTTTAGATAAGTTTGTCTGGCAGTGCAAAGCAGGCAAAGAGCTAACGGAGCTTGCCCAACTTTCGCTTTCAAGAAGTTGCTTAGCTCAGCGACGGCAGCTAGACAAAAGAAAGAAGTCGATTAGATAAGTGGCCCAAGGCGAAATGCAAAGCCAGCCAACCAATGGCTAATTCTCTGAAAGAAGCGAGCATATCAAATTAGATAAGTGAGCGACTGCAACAATAGCGAAAGATCGAGCGGCAGCGGCTTTCGGTGCCTTTCCCTTTTGGTAAAAGCAACAGCGAAAGCGAGAAAGGTGTTCCAAGCTGGGAGCAAAAGAGACAAGTTGCACAATATGCCACATACATACATATATATATGATTATATGTGTATATATAGTACATGTATGTATGTAATACAGATGTCGCCTTCTGCCAAAAATAACGTAAAATCTTGCAACATTTCCTTAGATTTGTAGCTGGAAATTGTTGACTCTTGACCACATTTGCTCATTTGCACAGCATTGCCAAGCAGATGGATATACATATATCACGCAAGTATATATATATGTATACATATATGTGAAGAATTATGTGACCACTGTTGCCCCTAGACGACTTATGCTTGAGTTATGCCAAGCATAAAGATTTTTGTTCATGGCAATATTTTTCACACGACATGATAAATCTTTTAGTCTCTTTTTTCTATTTTTTTTTTTTTTTT